TCCCCTCTCTTTTACACTTACTCTTCTTCGAGAGTGTCTCTTCAACTGAGAGAGAGCAGATCAGTCTCAACATCAACATATCAAGCCCAACATTTCCATCCTATTATGGTCAGATCAAGGTATCCTTCAGGGCAAAGATGCATTGCCTTCTTTCGCATTTGAAAATTGCTACCCTGTCAGTTTCAGAACATGAAAGTTGATTTGTTCTCTGTTATTTTTCCTGGGTTATTATTGGCAGGAAAAAGTACCCTTGTAGGAAGCATTTGTGTTTGTATGTTTTACCTGAGAAGTGACAAGCAGGTGTCTCCAATGGCTTCATAGATTTCATTAAGGAGCTGCACTGTAAATCCATCTCCTCTCCTAAATTCTATTTTAGCTTATTCAATTATTTATAGTATTTTAAATTTTTTCTTCTTCTAACATATCCTCAGTTATGAATCTGTAGATATAAAAGCTGGTTGTAAGGAAAATAAACTTCCATTTCTCAACAACATATCTACTTTTCCCTGTTCTTCACTCCTGCTCTCTCTATACAGCTTCATCAGGGCATCAACTGTCAAAAGTACTTCTTGATTCATACATCCTGGAATAAGTTATTAAAGAAGCAGAGCTGCACCCCTCCATTGTCATTCATACATATCAATGAAGGAGACATTTTGTAAATGGGGTGGTAACTGAACTTGCAAGCATGACACATGTTAAGCAAAGAGAATGCAATGACAGCACTTATGGCTTCTTTGCAAGGCTGGTATGGGCAAAAAAATATACCCCTGTTTCCCCGAAAATAAGACCCAACTGGAAAATAAGCCTTAGCATATTTTTTCAGGTTCCTCATAATATAAGCCCTACTCCAAAAATAAGTCCCAATTCAGATCATCAACCAGACGGATACATTTTCCCATATTTTCCCAAAAATAATGTGTCTTTTGGAGCAAAAATTTGGAGCAAAAATTAATATAAGACCTGGACTTATTTTGGGGGAAACACAGGTAGTGGGAAGAGAACTTGGAGAGAAACAATTCCTGCAAAACATGGAGTACCAGGAATAATGATAATAAAAAAAGAATTTAAGATAATATTCTAGGAAATAAAATGGCCCCAAGGGGAAGCAAGCATTATAATCTTTTGGGACCTGTCAGACTTCAAATCTGTCTCTCTGTGTGTGTTTTCTTTGAAGTGCAGATATACTCAAATGAGGGAGAATAAAACTGAATAGATGGAAATGGTAAAATAGAATTGGAATTAGAAATATTTTTTTCAAGAACAAATCAGATTCAGAGTTTGAAGCCAAGATGCCCATCCTAGATCAATCTGGAAATGAATTGTTTTGGTCTGTTCCCAATTCTAGAAAGTGATTTTTTTAAAAAATGGTGCTCCATTCTCACTGGAAAGATTGTACCTACAAGGTTAAAATTGTTGGTTTCCTCAAAGTTGTGATTATTGTCCCCTCTAGGCTTTAAATAGCTGGGCAGAATTCCGGTGATCCAACCATATCACCTTGCAAAACTGGCCATGATCTTACCACTCATCTTACCACAATACTGAAAATACTGTAATTCATACAGTGATCTGTATGAATGATAGATTGGGACTGGGGTATTGTAGAAGAGGTTGATTCATATCAGGACAGATTGTGCAACCTCTTTCACTTTAGATACATGGACCAAATCTTCCTGAACCTAGTTCAGGATTAAAGATCTGTATACATGTGGCTAATTCCTTGCGGTATATAACTGTGCACCTCTATGCATTATAACACAATCTTATTCTTTATCTTCAAAGAAGTACAGCCATCTTATATACCCACTTATCTGAGAGAGAATTCAAAAATTAGTCCTTGACTACTCCCTTTTCATCTCTTGATTTATCATTTGTGTTTTGACTGTCAGTCATCCTCAATTTAAAATCCTCAATTTCTTTATTTTTCAATATTTCTCTATCAACTAGGATTTATATTCCCCACTTCATGCTCTCTGTCCATAAATTTTTCCATATTGTTTTCTGACGCATCTTTCACTTTATAATCATCAAAAACTATATTTACAGATCCAGAGGTTATTGTTGTCAGATAAGGTACACACTGCTCTCCCGGTTCTTCAAAAATCCTTTCAAATGTCTCAAGCAACATGCCTTTATCTGTCATATTGTAAATTTCATTTTTTCTTTTTTTCTTGACTGAACGTAGTCCTCTCTAGTGGCTCATTTGTCAACACAGAATGAACCACTAGGGGGGACTAAAATTCCAGTCAGGAAAAAGAAAAGTGAAATTTACAGCATGACAAATAAAGGTATGTTGTTTGAGACAATTGAGGTTTTGTGTGTGTGTGTGTGTGTGTGTGTGTGTGTGTGTGTGTATTTTACTTTCAACTTTCAGCCAATGATCTCTCTCCTGATAGACTAAACAATTTGTGTTTTCATGAAAATATTGTTGTGTACGCTCAATTTTTAAAAAATCTTAATAAAAGTCTGAATATTCCAAATTTGTCTGGTTCCTCAATCTATTTATTGATTATATTCTTATTTAGGGGTTTTTTGTTTTTTTTTTGCTATTTGTTCTTTAAACTGCTAGTTAGCTTTTCTTTTATTTTGGGATGAAGTTTTACTTATCAGGCAGTCTTTCAAACTTACTATTTGGAAAAAAAAAACCCTTTAATGGTAAAATAATTACAAATTCAAAGATAATTAGAAAATGAGTTGGTCAAAACCATTTTCCTTGAAGCCTCCACTGTGTTTGAAAGCTTGATGACTATCCCCATCTCCAGCACTCAGACTTGCAGGATGACTGCTATTCTGTGGTCTCTGCATGAGGAACAGCCACCCAGAACACCCGTGGGCAATCTCTCCTCTCCTCCTTATCCAGAGGAGTTCTGCTGGATGGAGCTAAGTGCAGGCCCATCAATTATTGGCACTCATTTAGAGAAATCTAGTTCACCATTTCCCCTCACCTGGAAATCCCATATCTTTAGAAACAAAGCAATGGTTGCAGGTGACTGGCACCATAACAGAATGGATTTGGTCCATTCTCCTAATGCAAGCTGCTTCTGGGCAAACAGAGAGAGCATCATTGGTGGGCTGCTGCCGGCTCAGACCGGTTTGGGTGAGCCAGTAGTTCCGACGATCAGGTGGCCCTGTCCACCAGCCCCCGCCCTATCCTGTCCTATATTTCCTTCTTTCTGGCTCAGCTGATTCACGTGGCACAGCTGATTTCCACACCTCCGCTGTTCTATTTACCGGAGCTGCCTTAGGAGGTAAGCAGCTGAGCTTCAAATTGCTGTATTTTGAATGCTGTGCAACAGAATCGGGTGTTAAACCGGTTGCAGCCCACCACTGGAGAGCATCCCTTGTCAGGAAAGGAAGAAAATTATTCAAGGTCCACACCAGGTAGAGGGATGGGTTGAGGAAGGAGCTTTTTTGGGTTGCTGAGTTTAAACAAGTTCAGTTAATCCCAAATTCCCAGAGTATAATTCTTCTTGCAGCAAAGGCTGGTAAAGGCATAGACGTTCTATTGGGTATGGTGGAGCAAAAAAAAAAAAGTGATCTCAAGGACTGTGATAATAGAGAAGGGATAATAAGAGCTCAGACCAGCATACCTCAGGCTGCAGACAGAGAAGAGGATGATCAAGATGCAGGGAAGTGAGGTCTGTGCAAAAGGAGCTGTGGTCTGGAGGTCTTTTGGTCCAACCCTAGGCTTTGCAAAGTGCAGGGAAGATTATCTAGCAGGTTTTTTTTGTTTTTGTTTTGTTTTAAAGGGATTGGCTTTTCTGAGCCACTGTGGAAACCCTTTTATCTGGTAATAACAACTGAATGACAGGAGCTAAAACGGAGGAGAAATAGAAAGCAGCTGCAATTTTGTATCTGGGACTAACTGGAAGAACAAGGCCAAGAATTGGAAGGAGAGGGCGAAAAAGAAAGTAATAACATGCTTAAGTGGAGCCCCAACCATCATCCAAGAGTTTTTGTTACGCATATTCTAAATAATGCTGATTCCGTTCTACAGAGGAATTACTGAGTCTGTCATCTGCACCTCTGTAACTGTCTGGTTTGCCTCTGCAACCAAACAAGACAAACACAGACTTCAGAGGATAATTAGAACTGCAGAAAAAACAATTGCTACCAACCTGCCTTCCATTGAGGACCTGTATACTGCACGAGTCAAAAAGAGAGCTGTGAAAATATCTACAGATCCCTCACATCCTGGACATAAATTATTTCAACTTCTACCCTCAAAACAACACCACAGGGCATTGCACATTAGAACAACTAGACACATGCCATCACTCTGCTAAACAACTAATTCCCACAACACTGTCAAACTATTTAGTAAGGCTATATTACTATTCTTCTTCTCATCTTTCCTATTACCTATCTCCTTTTCTACTTATGACTATAACTTTGTTGCTTGTATCTTTACAATTTACATTGCTTTATTTAGTTTCCTAGTATGATTTATGTCGATTGCTTATTTAGTATCCTATGACTATCGCTAAGTGTTGCATCTTATGATTTATGATGAATGTATTTTTATGATCATGGTTTATCACTTATAGCTTTTATGTACACTGGGAGCTTATGCACCGAAGACAAATTCCTTGCGTGTCCAGTCACACTTGGCCAATAAAGAATTCTATTCTATTCTATTCTATTCTATTCTATTCTATTCTATTCTATTCTATTCTATTCTATTCTATTCTATTCACAGCCATTCATATTTACAGTGTCATCAGCCACCTGGAGTCATATTTGGTAAGATGGGGGGGGGGCATACAAATTTGATGAATGAATGAATGAATGAATGACAATAAGCAAACAAACAAACAAACAAACGATGATGGTTGGATGGTTGGATGGAATGGAATGGAATGCCTAACTTAGTGGCAGGATTTTCAAAAGATTCTAATTAATGCTTGGATGAAAGTTGATTAGGAAATATTAGGCTTTAGGTTATGAAAAGATCTTTTTAAAAAAAAAATCACAGAGGGCAATGATAAACCACTTCCATATTAGCCAGAAATCAAACTTTATTGGGAAAAGACTTTTTTATGGGCATGTAGCACAGAAAGATCATGTAATCTTTGCCTACTCAGCCTGATAGTTGATTATGATCATACATTTCCCTTAAACCTGGGCTAGGCAGCTTCTTAGAGTTTGCTGTCAGGCAAAACTGTCTTCTTACAGTTTTTCCGATTAAGGACGCTAGTTGGTAAAACAGGACATGTGACAATTTTCTGATATTATCTCACTTAAGATCCCATGGATTCTGAAACCAACAATAAAGGAAGATGTTGCTAGTCTCATAAAACTGATGATGCAGATTGTGTTCATTTACACTGATATGGATATGTGTATATCACCTAAGTGTTGCACAAAAGATTTGTCAGCACAGTCTCTGACACTCCCTACTCTGAAGAATATAGAAGCTATGATCTCTTAAAAAGCAAATCCCAAACCATGAGATTTGCTAATGATGTACTTTAACTTAAATTATTTGATAAGGAGATTATGTTGTGCATCTTGCTAGAATTCATTCAGAGTGAATTATTTCTCCAAGCTCTTTTAAAGCAGGCATGGGGTTATTTAATTTTCATGGGCCTTCTTGATCTCAAATTAACCACTTTTAAAATGCCCAGGATTACAGGGTGAGAATTAAACACATACTTAAAACTCTTCCATTGATATAAATGGGATTTTAAAAAGCACACATTTGGCTGCGTCCTGCTGGTTATTCTCTTTTATTTCTCTCCAAGGGGTTTCTTCCCCCCTCCAGCTGAATTAATAAAGCCAATGTTGTATATTGGTTGAGAGAGTAATTATGATCCAGGAAGTTCAACTCTTCACCGACTATGAGCTTGGCTGATCAACTCTGACAATTCAATGTTTTCTCTTCCTTTTCTGCCATATGGAGAAAGTGCCACTGGCCTGCCTTACAAGGTTGTTGTAAAGGTCATTGATATAAAATTTACAGCATGCTTTAAAAATTATTGTTGTTATTCAAATGGACTGCTGCCGGTTCACAAACTTGTTTGTTACTGCTCCGTGACGAGGTAAGTACAGAATTCCAGAGTAAATATTTAGAAACGTTTACAGCAATTAGACACTGCCACAACATCACAAGCCTGATCAGTGGTTTTATGTTGTCGAATCAGCTTTCATGTTATGGTAAGTTGCATGTCAGTCAGTCTGAAGTTGCATGTGGTGCGAATTGTATAGTTGTGACAAGCAGTAGGACTACATTGTAAAACATGATATTTAAAGCTTAGTTTGCCAACTCCTGTTAAAATCTTTGTATCAACCTTAATCAGCAAGAAATGATGATAATTAGCACACTGAGCATGATCTTAACCTCTTTGGGGTAAAACTGTAATGTAAACCTGATTAAATGCAGCTGATAAAATTCCCTTGTCAGATATTTCTTCGTATACTTGACAAAGTTTTGGCACCAAAAGATCCATAAATGTTTTATACCACTCAATAGGGAGCCCATCTAGTCCTGGTGTTTTACCACTTGCCATTTTTAAAATCACTCGTTTAATTTCTACCTCGGATAGTGGAGCAAATAAAAGTTATTTCTGTGTATCAGCTAAATGTGGTAAATCAGTTTTATTTAAAAAGACCTCAGTACATTTTCTGGTTTAATATATAATTCAGAATAGAATTTATAAAAATGACAATTTATAGCTGTTGAAGATTTGTACATTTCATCTCTTTCACCTCTAACAATTGGAAGCATTGCCGTATCTTTTTATTGTTTTAAGTAATTAACTAAGAACTTACCAGGTCTTTCACCATTCTCTCAGTATCTCAGCTGTCAGCATGTTAACATAAATTCTGTCTGCTGAGATATTACGTAGTTACTTCAGGTTTCTTTTTCTGTATTTCTCTGTACAAACCTGGAGATAGGAATTTATCTAACCATCTGTGCCTATGGATGTTTCTGTTCATCTTTCAAGTTATTTTCTCTTTTATTGTTAATCTTATTTTTATATGATGCATAGGCAATGATCCTACCTGAAATACCATACTTTGTATGCTTCCCATTCAAAAATGAGGGCACTTGATGTTTCTGAATTGGAATAAAAAATATTGTGAGGTTTCTACCTGCATTTGTTACACAAATTCCTCATCATTCAATACTGAAACACAGAATTATCCATTTTTCAATACCTGAGCCAGTTTTGAAATAGACATTTTAAAGAGATTGCACTACGGTCAGATGTGTAACAAACGTCAATATTGCATTCTTGAATCTGAATTATTTATTAAATTTATATGTCACCCTTTCTCACTCTCGCTGATTGTCCTATTTTGTCGATTAATCTTGATAGAAAGTTCTTACGCTCAGCGTTATCTCATAGATTATAGTGAGTGATATTGTTTCTTATTAAGAATGATCAAGCAGGAATTATAAACACTAGGCAAACAGCAGATGACATTAGGTTCTTTCTAGATCTAATTGGCTTGAAGAAAAATAAAGACAAATTTGTAATTTTAACATTAGATTGTTTGTACTGTTAGACAACATAGGAGAGCTACGGAGTAATTGAACACGTATGGCAAGCCTTCAGCAAGCCAGTGAAAATCTGGCTCTTTCCTTGGGTTTGTGGATCAAGATAATTAAATCTCCTATCTGGTACCATACAATAAATTTAAGTCTCTAACTGTCAATTAATTGTTTATAATTGGTATTGCTTAGTTTGCTTTTGATAGCTTTTATTATTGTTTTATTGTAATTCATCCGGAAACCCAGCCTTTGTGTTAGGCACCCAGATGCATTTGACTGAAGGAAAGTAGGATTTGTAGCAGAGGTGGGTTTCAGCAGGTTCTGATCAGTTCTGGAGAACCGGTAGTGAAAATTTTGAGTAGTTCGGAGAAGTGGAAGTTTTGAGTAGTAAAAATTCTGACTGGCCCCGCCCCCATCTATTCTCTGCCTCCCAGTTAATCAGGAGGAAATGGGGATTTTGCAGTAACCGTCCTCTGGATTGGGAAGGAAATGGGGATTTTGCAATAACTTTCTCCTGCCATGCCCAGCAAGCCACACCCACCAAGTCATGTCACACCCAGCAAGCCACACCCACAGAACCAGTAGTAAAAATTTTTGAAACCCACCACTGATTTGTAGGACTGAACAAAATGATCCCGATAATGCAGGGGTGTCAAACTCAAGGCCTGGGGACTGGACCCAACCCATAGGGTGCTTAGATCTGGCCTGAAGGGCCACCCTGAAAACAACAAAGGACTGCCCCATGATGCCTCTGCCAGTGAAAATGGAGCTCGAGTGGGTTGTGTGAGGCCCTCTCGAGCTCCGTTGTCTCTGGCAGAGGGTTGCAGGATGCCATGGCAGTTGAAAATGGAGCTTGGGAGCCCCTTTTCGCTGGGAAGTGCTCAGCCCACTACAGGTGCCCCCAACACGAGTAACATCGAGCTGGCCATGCCTACACCCTAGCCATGCCCCCCGGCCCCCCTGAGGTCAAACACAACCCTGATGCAGCCCACAATGAAATCGAGTTTGACACCCCTGCGGTAAAGCATTACAACTTCTGGCATGTCTCACCATTGGCATTCTAATAGGAGCTGCGGAGAATTTGTTCCCCTCTGCTAAGGTGCTAACTTGAGATGTCATGGAGGTCTCCAAGCAAGCCGAGTCTGAAAATAATGGCAAATAATCAGTTGACCTTTCAAATTAATGTAACATGTAATTTAACTTAAATAAAAATGTAAGATGTAGTTTTGTCACCATGTAGAAAAAGTTTTGCCCAATTGGGAAGCTTAACTTTTGTAAGAAAGAAAAGACCAACCTGGTTTTGCAAGGTGAGATTCAAAAGCTTTATGGTTCCAGCTGCTAGAGTTATAATTGCGTGAGTGATGACCCTCTACACAATATAGGTGTTTCTTTTTTTTCTTGAAGGCTTCCAGCTCCTTGAGATTTCTCCTGGTAGGAGGTTTAAAATTCTTTCTTTTCCTGTTTGATCTGGCTAGGGATTTCTTTTTCCTTCTCACATCTTAGATACCATTGATAAAATCTTGTCCTAACCATCAGAAGATGAGGGTGAGGTTCAACAATGACATTTTCACACAATACACTTAATCTGCTTTCCGAATTTCCAGCATTTGAAGAGGGATAAAGTTTCTTCAATTGTCCCAAGTCAAGTTCTTTAATGGAATGGAGACTTCTGCCTCTATCTGGATTCCATTTTGCAACTTACTCACTCCAAAGTGGAATTGCTCCTGGTTTCCTGATGTGAAATTTGAGAACCCACATTGATTACAATACTTCTATTTGTAATTTTTTTGGTGGCTAAATAAGAATTAGCACCCCTAGGTCCTTCATAACCACCCTCTAATATTAGACTAGACTAGACTAGAACAGAACAGAACAAAATAGAAATAGGAACAGAACAGAACAGAACAGAACAGAATAGAATAGAATAGAATAACAGAGTTGGAAGGGACCTTGGAGGTCTTCTAGTCCAATCCCATGCTCAGGCAGGTAACCCTATACCATTTCAGACAAATGGTTGTCCAATCTCTTCTTAAAAACTTCTAGTGTTGGAGAATTCACAACTTCTGGAGGCAAGTTGTTCCACTGGTTAATTGTTCTAACTGTCAGGAAATTTCTTCTTAGTTCTAGGTTGCTTCTCGCCTCGATTAGTTTCCACCCATTGCTTCTTGTCCTGCCCTCCGATGCTTTGGAGAATAGCTTGACTCACTCTTCTTTGTGGCAACTCCTGAGTTATCGGAAATTGCTATCATGTCATCTCAGTCCTTCTTTTCATTAAACTAGACATACCCAATTCCAGCAACTGTTCTTTGTATGTTTTAGCCTCCAGTCCCCTAATCATCTTTGTTGCTCTTCTCTGCACTCTTTCTAGAGTCTCAACATCTTTTTTACATCGTGGTGACCAAAGCTGGATGTAGTATTCCAAGTGTGGCCTTGTCAAGGCATTATAAAGTGGTATTAACACATCACGTGATCATGATCCTATCCCTCTGTTAATGCAGCCTAGAACTGTGTTGGCTTTTTTGGCAGCTGCTGCACACTGCTGGCTCATATTTAAACGATTCTCCACTAGGACTCCAAGATCCCTCTCACAGTTACTACTATTGAGTGAGGTACCACCTATACTGTACCTGTGCATTTGATTTTTCTTGCCTAAATGTAGAGCCTTCCTTTTTTCACCATTGCATTTCATTTTATTAAGATAGTGCCCAATGTTCAAGTCTATCAAGATCCTTCGGTATCTTAAGCCTATCTTCTAGAGTGCTGGCTATTCCTGACAGCTTGGTGTTGTCTCCAAATTTAATGAGTTCCTCATCTATCCCCTCATCCAAATCATTGATGAAGATGTTGAAGAGTACTGGGTCTAAAACAGAGCCTTGGTGTACACCACTGCATATGTCCCTCCATGTAGATGCAGTTCCATTGAGGACTTTAAAAAAAAAGAATTAAAAAAATGCTCTTTACAAAATAATAAACCTATAATTACTATTTATATATGATTGTTACAATATACCATTATATTAGAAAGCTAAATGAAAGACAAATGGGTCACTGAATGCCCAGTTATAGGGAGACATATAAATGACCCCACAAAAGGTGACAGATTTTGAACTATCACATCAGCAATGGACATTCCTGAATAGGATTCCACACCTCACATGGAGTCTGCCGGGACTCTCTGTATAAATAGGGCATAGTATCCTCCCCGCAGTCTGACTATGGGGTCCCATGTCAAATTGTACATCACATTGTGAGCAGCTGTAAGCTGAGGGCAAATACTGAGGGCATATACTGATTTTTTAAAATGTAAACAATGCTGCACTTTAATGGTTAGATGGCCTAGACATTGATATTTGATCATATATCTTTTTGACATTTATATTTTATTGGGTTCTACTAATCTAGTTGAAACATTAATTTACATTGCTGGTCCACATATGATATGCCATAGACTAAATAAATGAATAAATAAATTTGATATTCAAGAGTGAAGGGGGAAATGTGCCCAGTTCTAAAACCAATTTGTCACATTTTTTTAGTTCTAATATTATAACTGATTGATTGATTATGCCATCAATCAAGTGGTTTTCAACTCTAAGCAACCGCAGTGATGGATTTTCTTCATCTATTCCTAATCTGAGATAATCCCTAAACGGAGATAAATGATACAATCCCTAATCTCTTCTTTCAAGTCCTCCAATAGTGTGCTTATTACCATTATCATAATCTGTCTACTTTGCTGATGTTTGTTTTCCTCTTTCCTTCCAACTTTCTCAAGCTTCAGTGCCTCTTCCAGGCAGCTGGGTCTTTGCATAATGTGTCCAAAGTAGGATAATTAATTAAATTAAATTAACCTTACAATTAATTCAACAAAATTATTTTGTATCTTTGTACAATGTTGATTGCTTCAGATGGAGGTGTGATACTCAAAACGTAATAATTTGTATGATGTGGGCTAGTTCTACAGTGGCTTCTTTGGACAGAAGATTGCACTTATTTTGTTTTGAATGGTTCATTGGTTTTTGTAGCTTCTCTTCCTTTGGATTTGGAAATGAACGGGAAGACAATAGAAGCCTACAGAAAAATTTGTGTGTGTGTATATATATAAGAAATCAGTTTTCCCCAATCCTGAATATCTCTGTCTCTGTCTCTGTCTGTGTGTCTGTCTGTCTGTCCGTCTCCATCTGTGTGTGTGTAGATAGATGATAGATAGATAGATAGATAGATAGATAGATAGAGAGATAGAGAGATAGAGAGATAGAGAGATAGATAGAGAGACAAAGACAAAGACAAAGACAAAGACACAAAGAGAGATTCAGGATGGGGGGAAACTGATTTCTTATACCAATCCTTGGAAGATATGAAACAAACGTTTCCTTGGTTAAGCCAAGGGCCTTATCAGCAGACAAACTGCGAGCTGGTAAATCTGGTTGTAGATTTCAAAGAATTAGCACTAGCTGACATGGAGGAGGATATTCATCATGAAAACTAATTTGTCCCACACTGTCCTATAATTTCCTTCCTGACTTTTTCAAAAGGAAAGGTCTTACCAAAGTCATGAGCAGCACCTGTGCCAACCTGCTGAGGCTTGAAATTTGTATTTTAGTCCATATAAGATTAGCTAGAGGCAGATCTCCTACATTTACACCACTTTGCCTGTTCAATAATAATATAAGGAGAGGAGATGAAGGTTACTTTCACCCTCCATAGTTTCAAGGAAACGTATGTTTCCCATTTATTCCTCAGTTGGTACATGTATGACCATTGGCCTGAAAGGGAAAACATTCCTTTATGATCAATACAAGAGCTAGCCAATCAGAGTTGTGCACAGCCTGGTCCTGAAAGAGTGGAGGGGAGATGCTTTGTGATGAACACAAGGAGCTATCAGTGCATATAATGTAAATCAAAGGCAGTTTAGCTTAGTGGTAAAGGCACCAGGCTAGAAATCAGGAGACCATGAGCTCTAATCCCTTGGACATGAAAGCCAGCTGGGTTTCTCTGGGACAGTCACTCTCTCCCAGCCCAATTCACAGGTGGTGGTTGTTGTGAGGAAAATACTGAGGTGGAAGGACTATTAGGTATGTTCACAATCTTGTGTTATTTATAAAAATAATAAAGGCAGGATAAAAATGATCTAAAGCAAAAAAAAAAATCTATTCCCACTCTATTAGACACCGATTCTCTTTTAATTTGATTTTTTGAAGGAGGCTGTATGCATCTCGGATATGTTGGAGTATGCTTCCGCAGCGGCTCTACTAATTATGTGATTCTCCTTGCCTTTAGATGTATCTTAAAAGCTATCATTAATATTACATTATTGAAAAGAGCCACTTCAGTAAGTAAACTTCAGTTTCTAGTGCAGGTAAGTGAGGAATGGTGGGAGGCATCATTCAGCAATCTCTTCTGAATGGCAAATTCTTCAGTTCTTCAACCCCAGAAATATGTTCAGCCCAAATATGGTGCTGTATTTTCACTCTTGTGATTAAAAACATTTTCCCTTATAAGAACATCTCCATATTCCTAATTTGTTTCCAACCTGCAAAATTCCTCAGGAATGGGTAAAATGGAATTATTTGCAGAGCATTTTTGTAGCAACTCAGCTATGCCGTTTCCTTTCAAAGAAAATCCACAGCATTGGTTGCCATTCATCTGAACAGCAATGGATGAGCTATTTGAGCAAGCCACCAAGAAAAGAGGAAAATACGGCTGAATTCGGTTTACCTGGACTGCAACAGTATTCACTTTTTGAGGTATGTGCGAAAGCATTGCTAGTGACCTTATTAGAAGACTGCTAGTCTGTCCAGCAAAATTAATTAAACTGATAAAAGTCTCCTGAATCTACAGCTCTCATCTCTGAAAGAGTAGACTTGTTGTTTTCCTGCATCAGTCATTTCTCTGGCTGTTCTGTGCCTCTGCTGACTGCAAATAAATCTGCTCAATTTCTAATTCAGTTAAAGAGATAAGGCAGAATTAGAATAACTGAGCCATGTTACCTTAAACAGGTAGAGAGAACATATTTGTGGGTGGAAATCAGAAAAGATTTGTAGAGTAAAAGGATCAATAAGATGGTGGAGCAAGTTCCTTAGTTAAATATATACTTAGACTGATTTGTATGTAATTGTAGAACATCAGGTGAGTTTCATAGGATTTCCATGCTTCAGCTGGCAGCAGGTACTCTTCCTGTGGTTAATTTCAATGTTTATTAGACAGTAGAATTTACATGAGTCATCTGGTACCAGGTATTCAACTGAAGGGTATATAATTAGGTAATTGTAAGAGTTTCTTGTAAATATAACACTGCCTTATTTCTATAACTTAGTTAGAAATAGCTCCTCTGTTAGACAAAGGGAAACCTTACTGGGAACTATGACAAAACATAGCTTTGCAACTAAGCAAAGTAATCATTAGCTGCCTTGACCAAAATGAACATGCATTGGAAACATTTTCTTCTTACAAAGTGTAAAGTCTAGTATTGAATAATAGCAAGCTTCACCTTAGGCGGAATTTTCCCCCTGTATTATGAAACTTTCGAACTAAGGTTCAAATCCCTAGTGCCACGTAACGGGATGAGCTCCTGTTATTGTCCCAGTTTCTGCCAACCTAGCAGTTCAAAAGCACATAAAAAATGCAAGTAGAAAAATAGGGACCACCTTTGGTGGGAAGGTAACAGTGTTGTGTGTGCCTTTGGCGTTTAGTCATGCTGGCCACATGACCACAGGGACGTCTTTGGACAGTGCTGGCTCTTTGGCTTTGAAATGGAGATGAGCACCGCCCCCTAGAGTCGGGAGCGATTAGCACATATGTTCAAGGGGAACCTTTACCTTTTTATGAAACTACTCATCAGGAGTCATCTCACTGTTAGCTGGGACAAAGTGGAAGGTCTGAGGGATGTGTCCTTGAGTGGAGCTCCATGCAACTGAAAGGGACACTAAATCCATAAGATCTATCTGACCTTTCTGAATTAGTTTCCATTCCCTTTGTTTTGTGGCCAGGCAGAGCTTGTTTGCCTACAATTCTGAATTCTTTTAAGACTTTTTTTGCCCATCAGACTTTGTCTCTGCATAACATGGTACAAATAATTTGCTGTAAGCCTGCCTGCTTCCCGAGAAGCTATCTTATACCAGGTCAGACACTCTGATTTACATTTATAGTAGATCAGACACGTTGACTTACTCACGGGCTCCATTGCAAGAAAAGCCTTTTCCAAAAGCAGTGGGGAATCTGTAAATGGCCACGTGTCGCTGAACTACATGGATTGCAACTCATGCTGGAGGGAGTGATCCATTTGGAAGGCTTGTGCAACATGTAGTAACCAAGTAATGATGGATAGCCCAGATTAGGCTTTTTCTGAAATTTGTTTTATTCAGTGAGTTCAAGGAAGAAGGCATGCTGAAGGAATGTCATCTTTAGGGACTCTACTGTGCCTCTTAAATTTTTTTAAAAAAGCTGCCTCCCAACTAGTAAGGCCTTTTTTCCCCCTTTAAGCCTTGCTAAATTTTAAAAAAGCACTGGTTATTCTTGAATCAGCTGAGCAGGCAGAAACATCCTTCTCCTTCTGAAACTGGTCCATAGCTCACCTGGAGATTCTGTTTCAGCTGATACATGAAAGCATGGGGGGAAAAGAACTGGAGAGAAGAAAGGGAGGGCAAATCTGCATTTCTTATATCTCCTTGGTGAGCCCTATTCTGACTGACAATTATTGACGTGGTACTTCAATGTTATTTAATAGGAGAGGCCAGGGATTAAACCTGGGACTATTTGCTGGCAAAGCAGACATTATATTCCCTTCCCATATACATTGTTTTTCAACATTTTGCTTTCTGTCCTGTTCTCTGAGCCATTCCTTTCTCCTTCCCCACCTGCAGTTGATTGATATGCTTGTCATCAAACAAGCCATTGTATAGCATACTTTTTGGACTGTTGAACAGTGACAAGAGGAAATGAATAAATTCATGTCCTGTTTCACAAGTGCTTTGTTACATCCAAATTTGAATACCTATTTTTTCCCCCAATACTATCCCCCCCACCCCCTGAATCAGACATTTCTGAACGTTGCTCATGCATAACATTCATATTTCAATGTATTTTGATAAGAAATGTGAGTTGGGAATTTTATTTCCATGAGACGTTGGAAAAAGCGGATGTTGCTTTTTCCCAAGGCATCTTTCTCCCGTGCTCTAAAGCTTCCTGCTGGCCCCTACTTCTTGATGTAAAAAGTCTCAATAGGAGAAGTTTCTCCATGACATCTTTCCTTAGATTCTAACTGAAAGGTGAGATGTCAGGAGGCTGCAGACTGCTATGATGAAAGAAGGATATTTGTGTTTACCCTTCAGTCTCCTCATAACCAAGATAAGCGAAGGAACCTCACTCTGAAGAATTTTATTGAAATGTTCTCTTTGGAAAAAGACAAGCAATTTGCTATGAGAATTGGTAGATAACAACATCAACTTCAGCAGTATGGGGAAATGTTTTAGAGGAAGAACCTGCTTCAAAGACAAAATTGATTCTGCTGCTGCTTGGTGGAGATGCAGAGTTTCTTGATGAAAAGCTAACCATCATATTCCATAAACATTTCTCTGAGGCAAGTGACTCATTTGAACCAAGAAAGGCCCAAACTCTTCCAATCTCAATGAGACTGTCTTTATTTGCCATTGGTAAATAAGTAAAATAAAATCAATCCAAAAATAAAATAAAATAAAGCCCTCCCCACCCAAAGAAGCCCCAAATCAGATCCATGCACCATCAACCACAGGAGAGAGAAAAAGTGAAAAGAAGAAAAAGAAAGAAAAAGAAAAGGAAGAAAGAAAGAAAGAAAGAAAAAGAAAGAAAAAGATAGATGAAATTCATTTCATTTATTATATAGAAATAATGGCATTATGGAGTTTTCCCAGGCCACCGAGTTTTCCTAGACCAAAATTTGGTGGCAGTACCCCCCAACCTCCCTAAGATAACAGAGAAAATGAACAAAATGACCACCAAGCTTGTTCAGGTCTCTTTGATCACAGTATTATAATTCCCCTGAAGTCTTGATAACATGGAAGAGAGTCACGTTGTAGATGACCTGGTGGCCATTGTTCCAGGTGTAGAGAACCCTCTCCCGGGGATTGTAGTCCAACATGGATATGTGGGAATATTGATTGTGGAAGGGAATATCTGTGTACTCATAGCTAGAAGTGTTTGTGTAGTAGGCAAAATAGATTTTTGCTCCAGCCAGGTGTGAATTTGTCACATAGAGGGTCCCGCAAATCATGAAGGATTCTCCTGCACTCCTCTTGGGGTAGCCAGTGTCCCAGCTGCGTAGTATCTCCAGTGTCATGGGGTCCATCCTGCTCACCACAATGTTGCCAGCATTTTGGTTGGTGGTGTAAACTGCCCAGAGTCCATTCTCGTCCACCATGAAGTCGATGTCAGAGAAACCACCCCAGGAATATGGGAATGTGTTGTTGTAGCCAGCCGTGTTGAGGCTGCGTTGTACAACAACGCTCCGTGAACGGAAATGGTACTTCACCACAATGTTGCTCTGATACTTGTTGTAGTAGAGGGATCCGTTGAAAACCACATGGCCAGTGCCTGCCCAAGGGTGAGGCAGCAAGTGCTGGACAAAATTTTGCCCTGTGATGAAGTCATTCAGGGTACGATACTCAAGGACACGACGGCCTTTGTAATAGCCATCCATGTACCACACCTGAGGAAAAACACAATGAATTTAATGAGACAACACTTTTAATTTCCCAATGGCTACAGTGGAGAGAGAAAAAGCAGAGCAAGCCAAAGATACTTTCAGGCCCAAACTAAAAATCAAAATGGCAACTTTCCAATAGTAAAAGTGCCCTAAAACATGGATTTTTCACCCAACCCCCCCTTTTTTTGGGGGGGAGGTTTCACAAGAACTACAGCATAAGCAAATAACACTATCTGCCCCCTCAAAACATGCTCAGCTTGAATGTGGTTGGATTCTTTGTGATTTGTGTGTTGTGCAAAGATATCAATAAAGTTACAATTCTATAGATACTAACTTGGGTCTATTGAATTCAAGGTGGCTGATTTTTGAGTTGGTCTCAAAAATAGGATTGCACCAGTGGTGGGATTCAAATTTTTTTACTACCGGTTCGGTGGGCATGGCTTGGTGGGCGTGGCTTGGTGGGCATGGCAGGGGAAGGATAATGTAAAATCTCCATTCCCACCCCACTCCAGGGGAAGGATACTGTAAAATCTCCATTTCCTCCCCACTTCAGGGGAAGGTTACTGCAAAATCCCCATTTCTTCCCGATCAGCTGGGACTCGGGAGGCAGATGGGGGTGAGGCCAGTCAGAGGTGGTATTTACCAGTTCTCCGAACTACTCAAAATTTCCACTACCGGTTCTCCAGAACTGGTCAGAACCTGCTGAATACCACCTCTGGATTGCACCCTAAACCTGAAATTTTTATCATCTTGGGTTCAAGTCCCTAGGGCTACCTAGTTACTTCTGAAGATGCAGATGACCATTAGCGCTAACCACCTATTGCCATCATGTGGTTGTCCAAGGTTTTGCAGCTCAGTGGGTTATATATTGCCTCTGGGATGATCATCCCTGCTTTGAAATATAAAGAGAACTTTCCTGATTGAGACATTCTGGCCTCTTAAGCTTTACAGCAGCTGCTTCAATACCATCCCACAGGATCATATTTCCTAATCAGACCCACCTTGGCCACTGGAATTTGGCAGCAGCTGACCAATTGATAATAAGCTCAGCCAGTGTTCCTGACCGGAACACTGCTTTCAGAAGGCAGCCATTACTATACTGGAAACATAGGTTTTGAGGGGGAGATGATATGAAAGGGATTCCTCTTGTGTAAAATCTATATTAATATAGGGTTTCTCAGCATTGGAAAATTGTACTATTACAATTTTTGTAATAGTACTATTAAAAAATTACTATTTTTGTACTATTACAATTTGAGCATTGATTATTTTTGTTATTTTGACCCCTTGTTTATTTAGGGTAGGAATGTAAGTTGTTCAGAGTCGATTAATGATTAGAGCAGGATGTAAGCCTAGCAAAATGAATGAATGAATGAATATTTATGGTTGATACAACATATATCTCAAAAAAAGTTTGGGGGGAGATTTGCTATAAAGCTATTCAAGATTATTTATCAAATATTAATTAGGCTTTAATTAATTTAACACACACACACGCACACACACACAGTTCCTTTCCTGACACATTAAGAGATCAACTCTTTTTTTCTAAGAGAAGGACACGATGCAAATCATTTCATACTATTTACTATAAGTGGTTGAAATCAAGGCAGTGGACATTTGCTCAAAGGAGGGAAAGACTTGCGTTGAACAATGGATAGAAATAGCATCATAGAGGAACGTTTCTCAGTACCATCATGGAATAAGTAATCATTGGTATGAGCTTTTCTTATGATGGTAATTTTCTCAAATGTCAAATTCTCTTAAGGTGTGTCCTGAGATTTGAATTCCAAGGCAAAAAAGTGCTTTGACAGCTCCTTCAAGGAGAGATGCACCTTTACTTGGGCTTGTTCTGTTGTGTGACCCCCCAAGAAAAGATGCATTTGATTAAAGGAATTACATCGTAGGCTACATGCCCTGTCATGTATTCTCTGATCACCTTTTCTCTTCCTAATCTGGATTGCTGCACAAAGGAATCCTGTGGCTCTGATGCCAAAATCATCCAGATTCACTCCACCTGAAAACAAGAACACTTCGACACCGAAACAACTGTGCTCCTGTGCCTTCATTACCCCTATGGTCATGGTCCAGCAGCACAGTCAATCCAATTCCTGGTCTCAAGGATATGCTCTGAAACCAGTTTAGTGGTATGTCCTCTAGAGCTGTGGGGCAGGGATCTTCTCAGGGGTGGGAGTTCCCTCCACAACCCATCTCCTGGAATTTTCTCCCTTTTTGTTGAAGCCAGTGCGTCAAAGTATCTTTCTCTTTAGGTGGGATTAGAGGACAGCTTTGCCAACAGAGCAGTTACTGGTTTTTCTTTGAAACCAAAAGAAAAGCAGCAAAGAATTCACAGTTTCTGCTGGCCAAGCTTAGCGGTAGTAGCAACGAGGACACTCAAGCATTGCGAAACTGCTGGAGAGGGCAAGAAAGCCTGTGGCTGTACTGAAGTGTTCAAACTTACAAGCACATTGTTTTTAGCATCCATTCTAATAGCTGCGTTGGATGTTTTAAATCTTGACTCTTCTTATTGCCTTAAGGGTTCCTTGAGAATGCGCAGCTATGCAGAAGTATCCTTTGGCAGCACTAAAATCACAATCACTGTGGTGATGACCATCATCCTCACCACCACCATCATTATTGCCAGGATGAAAAGGCCAAAATTTTAATATCCACCTCCCACAGAGTCAGAATGACTATCTTCCCCAACATCTCTAACATGGTGCCCTGCAGTTTATTTGAGCTACAACATCCTTTATTAGCCTGACTAACAGCCAGGGTTGACAGCTGAAGAAGTTTAAAAATATTGTTAAGGTTGCCAAGGTACTTTTGTGGTTTGCCAATATTGTTTGTGGTGCAAGCATAATCTAGAAGATGAGGAGGAATGAATCTGACATTTTCTGACCTCCCCCTCACCTAAACCCAACGCTGCAGAATTTATCTTGTTTATTGATTGCGCTTCTTGGTGTAAGAATGCGGTATTCATTTCCCGGCGTTAGCAATGGGAAGTATTTTTTTTCAAAGAAATATTCCTGCTGTTAAGTTTTCTAGTTCCTCAGTTCCAGATCTCTTCCAAATTCTGGGGTTCCGTTCATCCGTCTATTTTTCTTTATGTCTCTTAGATCTTACATTTCTAATCAGCTGAGTAGAAGGGGCTCTGTCACTAATTTTCTGATGTCAGGGGATTCTTTTGAAATTCTTGAATAAAGAGAACCAAAACCAAAAAAACCAATTATAGAAAGAAAAATTTATTTCCAGCCCATGTGGTTGTCTGTAATGAGGGAAAGACATTCATGGTGAGCTACCAGCATTTTGTAAGGATGAGCCAAACAAGGCAACAATTTTTGTTTTAGAAGGTGTCCTTACAAAAAGGAATGAATTTTAGTATGAGTAAGAAGTGGTGATTTAGCTAGCATTCAGCATTTGGGTCCAGGTATGAAAATCTTGTTTGGGAAGATGAGCTTATTTAATCACCTACAAATTAGAAATAAATCCTGCCTGCATCCATGCAGCTATGGGCCACACTGAAGACGTGCAGATTTCCTGCTGCTGTTGGAGTCCTTGACAGCACTCTTCATACAGCGATCAATCTCTCCTGCTCATTCTGTGTTTGGAAGTTTGTGTTCAAAATATGAGCCATGAACTCATATTGCTCACAGTGCTACTTTCCCTTTGCTAGCTATCTGGCTGCAGTCAAGCAAGAGGAAAAAAAACAAGAATAAATAAATTTGGCACAACCCGTAATGAGATTGAATGAATGGCAACTTCTCCATTCATTCTAGAGCTTGCCATAGCTGGGCCTGGCACAAGGCCTGGGGAGCCAGGATCCTCCTACTATATCAGAAAAGCTCGGTCTGGATAAAGCTGCCCTGTATGGATCTACATGGCAACATCTCACTTAAAGAGTAATGGCAGGATAGTGATTGGCAGGTGGGGGTCATCTTGAAAAACGGGAATCTTCAAGAACCTCTCAAATGAGCCAGCTATTCATAAATCATTGACTGTGATTTAATGATGGCAAGCAGGAGATCTGAAAGGATTGTAGCTCTCACCCATACATATTTGCTGACTGGGAAAAATAGGCACACAATGATTTTGGTGCAGAGGATACTGCCAGAAGCAAAGGGAAAATAAATGGGGGCTGGGAGGAAGAGACATTCAGCAGTTGTGTAGAAGAGATCATTTGGAGGCATGTAGCCAATTGCTCAGGAGTTAAAGTAATAATAATTTTAAAAGCCAGTACTCCCAGTTTCAGGTGCATAGGATCTAATAATACAATTGCTTGAAATGAGCACAAAAAGAACAACAATCCCACAGGCAACATATAAAGAGTTAAAAGTTCAGCAAAGACACTGGGGCAGTTTTAATTGTCTAGGATGCTAGAAGATGGGGATAAAGAGCAGTAGACATGCAGAGGGGTCAAAAGTAGAGTGGGTTTCTGTTGCTGCTGAGAATAATGCTTGGTCATAGAATGGGACCACACCATGTATAAAAAGCTGGAAATAGGTTGGGTTTACACTTAGTAGAACAAACAGTGCAAAAGAGAACAGAAATTGTATTATGGTCACCAACCAAACTTAACACCTGATGTTAATGTCTGACTTACTGAATTAGTCACAGTGGCCAACTTAACACACAGCACCAAGCCATAGCACATATTTTAGAAAAGCAAGGTTCAAACATTACACTTGCCCAAACCAGACAATCTACATTACTGTTTAGTACCATGTAGAAACCCTATTAGTAACAGCATACTGGTTGTGATGACCATGATCAGGCCATTTTTCAGAGAAAACTCCCCTAAAGGTAATTTTCATTATGAAGAAATAAACGTGGTGTTAATACTCGTTCAGGGAAGTGCAATGGATACACAAAGGTGACATCTTATAAATGCTGCAATTCATTCCTCGAAAGGGTGTCATAGCGGCCTTTGCATTGTATATGGGTCATTGTTTTGGCACCACGATGGTTTGCTGTGATTGACCCTGAGAATAAAGCGATCCATT